TTTAGCCAAGGATGCCGAGGGTTTCGTTTTAGGCACTTCTGTGGGACATATGTGTGTATGCAGTGTTCAACAATCTTATAAAACTGCTCAACTATTAAGTCCACATGACATTGGTTGCTATTGAAGAAGAAATCATCAAAAGACGCTGCTAGAACTGCAAGAATTGAATTGTCGTCTGCGTGAGTAAAATCCAGAACCGTTTTGTACGTCGGAAGTTTGGGTTCACAAGCAACATTCAAGCTAAGAAGGACTGCCTTGTGGTCAGATACCCCGTTCACTGTTTCACATTCAAATCCATTCTGCTGTACAGCCTCATTTAAGAATACAAGGTCTAAAATGGCATTTTCCCGCGTAGGAACATCGACTACTTGGGTAAGATCAAACGACACAACAAGGTCAACTAAAGCTTCACTGAGTGCCCTATCGCGACCAGTGAGTAAGAGTAAATTCCAGTCAACATGCGGTACATTAAAGTCACCACATAAAATCAGTTTACATTTGTGAAGCCTGTTTTTCAATATATAATCACTAATAGCAGGAAAAACGACGTGGTCAGTACCAGGAGGCCGGTATATTACGCCTAATACGGTTATTTTCCCCCCAACGCTGATTTTGCACCACAAAGATTCTGACTCAGGAAGGTCGGGTAATGGATAGAACTTCAAACTATTCTTTAAGAAGATGGCGACACCGCCACCGCGGCTGTCCGCTCTGTCTTTACGTAGTACCGAGAAACCCGGGGGTAGGCATTCAGCCTCAGAAATAGTATTATTTAACCATGTCTCAGTGACACAAATTAGTGATGGTGCGTAAGTTTGGATGAGCCAATTAAAATCTACAGTCTTGTTCACCAAACTGCGAGCATTTACGTTCAGAAGCACTAATTTACGCTGGCCTTCGGAAAGTCATTCATTGCTACGGGGAACACGATTGCTAGACGCTTCAATAACTGACTTTGTGACGTCGTCCCAGACGTAGCGAACACTGTCAATTACTAACTGATCGTACTGTAGGCGTACTTTTTCGGCTACTTTTCTTAGGTCAGCAGAGTGTTGCCATAGTTCCTTGCGGATTTGTCGAACCCTGACTGAAAAATCTTCGTTGATGAAGATATTCGTTCCTTTTAATTTGCTAGCCTTGCTTAAGATCTCGGTTTTGGTTCGAAAATCGAGAAGCTTGATAATTACTGGCCTTGGACTGTCGCTTCTGCGTGTTCCGAGGCGATGACAGCGTTCGATATTGTCACATTCAATATCAAGCTTCGTTGATATAAGGTTCACGACCGACGGTAGTAGCTGCTCGGGTTTCTCATCACGTGGTTCCTGCAATCCATGTATTACAAGGTTTTTTCGTCGTGATCGATTTTCCAAGTCGTCGTTTTTGCGATTAAGTGTGTGCGCTGTTTTAGTTAGATCGTTCATTTTAATCTCCATTTCCGGTACACGTTTCACAAGATCGTTATTATCAGAGACACTAGACTCCAACTTTGTTAGACGGGCTTCGAACGCTGCAACCCTTGTGGTGAGTGCTAATATATCTTCGCTAATACGTGTTTGCCCAGCTGGCAATTCTAGTAACATTTGTTCAGTTTTGGATGCGGGCCCGGGATTGGTCTCGACGTCACCAGACTGGTCGGGTTTCTCAAAAAAGAAAAAAAAAACGGAAAACAACTTCTTCGAGCGTTTGAAACTCCCTCGCCACGCCTTCTTGCTTCCGTACCACACGACGGGACGGTTCTTCAATGAAGTGGTAGATCCTCTGGGCGTGGGCCTGTGCAGCACGGCGCTGCGTTGTTTTCTAGGTCGTTATCTGTCGCACTTTCCATTCGATCTTCGGTCGGTTTACTGCGCCACTCTCTTTCAGTGGATCCTGCTTCCGCGTGTAACTGGCTGCTTTGCCTAGCAACAGCGCGTTCGTGGCACACATTAGCGTCTGCTGTCACGTTTCACCTCCGCGGTGGTCTAGCGGCTAAGGTACTCGGCTGCTGACCCGCAGGTCGCGGGATTGAATCCCGGCTGCGGTGGCTGAATTTCTGATGAAGGTGGAAATGCTGTAAGCCTGTGTGCTCAGATTTGGGTGCACGTTAACGAATTTTAGGTGGTCAAAATTTCCGGAGCCCTCCACTACGGCGTCTCTCATAATCATATGGTGGTTTTGGGACGTTAAACCCCACATATCAATCAATCAATAAATCAGCCAGTCAATCAATCAATCAATCAATCAATCAATCAATCAATCAATCAATCAATCAATTAGTCAATATATCCTGTCACATTCTCATTTAGTTGGACGTGTGAGTGCGTAGTCACGGCCTGCTCATGAGTCGCGTGCGTGTTTGGTTCTTCTAATGTGTCATCTGGCAACGGACATTCTCCGAAAATGAATGGCGTGTCTCGTAATCCTACACTGCAAGGAAAAAGAAGTGTAGATGCGTTACTTTTTTCGGGAGGTCCTAACTAGACAAGTATATGACTTTATTTTTTTAAACGCACTAACTCCCTTTTCACTTTCAGGACTCTCGAACGACACCGTGGTTATCTTCGAAAAGACCTCACGTGTCCCTTTAATTAGAGTCGTATACGTGGCGAGTGAAAACTCCCCCAAAAGAGTCGTAGGACTTCTCTTTTCCCCCCGCCGGAGTGGATCGGTGGTTACGGGGCTTGGCTGCTGACCAGGAGGTCGCGGGCTCGATCCCAGCCGTGGTTGTCGCATTTCGCTGGAGTCGAAGCGGTCGATGCCCGTGTATTGCGCTATGACAGTGCACGTTAAAGAACACCGGATCGGGAAAAATTTCGGAGCTCTCAATTACGGCGTCCCTCGTAATAATGTAGTGGTTTTGGGACGTAAATCTTGATTTATTATCATTTTTTTCTTATAGTGTAGCGTTGAAATATCAATTTCCTGTTGACCTGCATGTTTTATAGAGTTTTGCTTAGTACAAAAAAGCAGGGGCTTTAAAACGTGCTTTATTCGTTCATCTGCCTCTTCTAAGTTACTCTCGTATGCTTTCTCTCAAAGTAGTGTCGAAGCAAAGTGTTTTCCTTTTAATAGATATGAACATCAGAACACGCCTGAAAATTTGTAAATCGATTTTTTTTTCACCAGTGCGTGGAGTACACATGTACAGACTGAGTTACAGCACGCGTTAATTATCAGGCAGGCCTTCAAAGCGGGAAATCGGATCAGACACTTTCGTACTCTTTCCAGCGCGCGATAAGCTCGTAAAAATTATTGCTATCCCTGGCCAGCGTAAGTTCATGATTTATCTTGTTTAATTCGATTTTCTTCCGTTAGCATTCACAACTTTTGATCGCGTTTTGCTATTGATTGCTCGGCATGAACACAACGTGAAACCCTAACGAAGTTTAGAAAGCACTATAATTTGAGCAGACAGACTTTGCGCATTTTAATGCCGGCTGATAGAGCTTATACGGCTCGCTACTTTACGAATGTGTATAGTGGTTTATGGTTTGGCGATAGGAGTATGAGCATGGTGTGGACATGACTGCACGCTCGTTTCTAAAATTACATTCTCTGCGAAAGACTATAGAAGCGCTTTTCGTCGTAAACTTAAAACGACTTGCTGAATAACGAAATAATCTCGGCTGGGAGAAACCAGCACGCTTCTAGGCTGCCTCTTGACGAAGATGCGGCAACATGCCGTGACCATTGATCACGATATCGCGCGTGCACAGTGCTGTGTGCCTTGTTTCTGGATCGCGAAAGGTTGCAAGGTTGAATCGATATCGACAAAATTTCGGGCAAACATGGAGGTGTCTGGCGAACCCAGAAAGCGAAATGGCGGAACATGGCGAGAAGTGGATCGCCAGAGGGCTTCGTCAAGCTTGCCATGCAGGGTAGAGGTTTGGAGTAGTTGGTGTACGTTTATAAGTGGGCAAAAAAAAGAAAACTGTGCAAAGTTCAGACAGGACACACAAGATGATGAAGGCACAACAGCGCTGTTGCACATCCTGCTTCATCTTGCGTGTTTTGTCCGAGTTTTGCGATGATTTTTTTTTTCATTTTTGTCAGGTGATTGCCACAAGAAATGTATGGGGCACGTACGCGAAGTCGCGACGAAGAATTCTCTGTCACCACGACTGGCGTGAAGTGGTGTGTGTTGCGAGATCGAGATAAGCAATTTGAATCAAGTGGCACAAACACAGTTTGTGTATTGGACTAAGAGTTTTGCCTTCATATACGCTAAGCTGTGCGAAATTGAAGGGTATGTTTATTCTGATACCGCAGTGTGCTGTTTAAGTTTGTGTTTGGATGGTAGGTATGCTTGCACACGTGCGAGGATACAGCCGCAGTTAGACAACACGACCTTTCAGCACATGGTCATTGACGATTAAAGGTGCGGCTGAGGTGACAGAACGTTACTGGTGTGGATTCGTCGCTAGGCGGGATTAAGCAATGCGTGAGGCAGGAACTGACTGGACGATTGAGGCAGACATGTGCATCGCGGTCGTCATGACACTTTCATTCACATGTTCCTGCAGGGAGGGATGGGCTGGTGCGAGAATGAGGGACAGCAAATTTAGGCAAGTCTCGGGTCACACATGGGGGCAATCCCGCTTCGCCCACTCGGCGACTCTACAATTAACAGGCGTAATCTAGTGAACCTTACGTGCTTTATTGATGTGCTTGCGTGTGTGATTTGGTGTACCTGTGCGCGCGTCTGCGTTTAACGCTACACTGATTTAAACGAAAGCTTATTTTTCGTGTTGCCTCCGATAGGTATGCGACATTCTGGTGGCCTATAGACGTACATGTTGTGGTGACCTGAATATGTACTTGTGATGACTGAAAGAATTTAGTGGCTTGACAGGTACTCACTATCAACCATGAACCAGCGTTTTACATCTCATTCAGTTCTACATTTAGGGATCGTACTCTAACCATGGACGTCTTTGCAGTGTCTTTGTGAAGATTTAGCTACGCTCATTTTGGAAAAGCTGCGTTTCGACAGTCATTTTCGTTCCTTCTGTTGACTGCAGGCGCAGCATCTACGCGCCCCGCCTGGTGTAGCCAATGAAATACCGGCCGGTGGTGAATTGGACGCTGACGGCAAGAAGGACTGGCACGACCTCGCCATGATCAAGCGTGACGCTGAGGCCAAGGGACCCGGCGAACAGGGCGCCGCCTTTTTCCTGCCTGCTGGTATGGATAAGAAGAAGGATGAACTCTACAAGGTCAATGGCTTCAACGCACTGGCCAGCGACTTTATTGCCCTCAACAGGTCGCTACCTGACATCCGGAATCCTGGGTGAGCGGCTTCTGATGTGCCTTCGTGCTATTCCTTTCATGTAGTTTTAACCGCATTTCACCTACGCGAGCATTCCTGTTTGTTATTTAATTATTGGTTAGACACATCATTGCAGCATAAATCGACGCTAGTATCAGCAGCATCACAATCTTACCAGCTACAGATTGCGGGGCCCGATAGCTTGCTACGGTTTGGTTGGAAAACGGATGGGGTCAAAGGGAACATATATATAACTATGTATATTCTCTAGCAGCCGCATTAGCACATATCGGCAACGCCTGCTTAGGCGGGCCGCGTTCGCAATCGTTGTTATTATTACTCGTCCTTGCTTTTGTACTTTGCACTTGGCATGCCCATACATCGCTGATATTGTTAAAGACTCATATTGCTTGAACTTCCAAAAAAAAATGCGGTGGCTATTAATTCATTTACTAGTCGCCAGCGTCAGAGGGTTGAACGGGAGAGCCAATTGTTATAGTAATTTTTTTTAGTTAAGTCGCCTATAAACTCAAGTAACGCCGATATGATTGACATGTTTGCTTGACAAGCCTCGCAATCTCGTCATGAACAGTATCTGGCCGCTCGGTGACTCAATGCTTCGCATTTGTAAACTCCATTTAAGTATGCGTTCTCTTGCGTTCGTGAGAACAGGTGAACACTCTAGCTGCACAGAAAACCTGGGTGAACGGACAACAAGCGCAATGCTGAAACAACGCCTGAAACGTTGCAGTCTTCGCGAATACATTACTTCGGAGAATGTTGCCTCGGACCTGCAATGTCCTGCATGTGGCTGAAACGCAAGCCCACTCCCGAACGCAGCAATGCTCTGTAGGAACTTGGTGCGAGTTTTGTTGGTTCCCTTACTGTATACGTTTTGCTTGCACAACAAAAGAGAGCAGTGATTCACTGCGTCGTAGTATATACGTAGTTTATTTCGCACCTTCACTCGAATACAGGCAAGTGGGGGATCGAGCGCGTTCTCCCGCGCCTCTTCGTGCTCGTCGAGAACGGCATGCACGCTACAGCGTGCTATAGATATTTGAATCGATCGCCGGGGCGCGACTGCGCCCAAGTTGATTGGTTCGCACGCCTGGCGAACGCCAACTCTGTGGTCCCGCGCCTTTTTATGTCTACACGCAGCGAGAAACTTTCGTACTGCCACTGGCAACGTGCCCTTGTAAGTAAGGGGCCCTGCTAATTGTAATCTCCTGGGATTTACGTGCCAAAACCATGCTATGCCGTATGAGGGAGGCCGTGATGGAGGACCCCGGAAATATTGACTGTACTGTGGTCCCTGACGCACGCCTAAATCTAAGTACATGTGCATCTAGTATTTCGCCTCCAACGAAATTCGGCCGCCGAGATTCGATCCCGTGACCTTTGGGGTCATCATTCGAGTACCATAGCCGCGGCTGTAGTCTTGTTGAAGTGCGTGTCTTCTGAAAATTAACAGGAAAGTGAATGTGCCGTGTGAAGAGGTATGTTTCTTAAACCAAACCGTATAATTATTACCGGGTTTTTTGTTTCTTAAGCAAACGGAGTTACCGAAGCCGCGTTCGCTTAATTCTATGAGTTATGAAAGTGCAAGTCAGAACAAATACGTTTTGAGCGTCATTGACACTGAAACGTGTGTTAGTATGTGCAAGGAAAGTGTCTGATAACGAATTGAATGGAAAACAGGATAAATTGTTTAAGAAATCAGTTTGCTATGTTATAGGGAGAAATTGCATGATGGCGTGTGTGTATTGTATCTGGGTATGCTTTCGTTCCTTAAATCTCTTGGCGCAATGGAGCATTGAAGTATGCATGGCTGCACAGTAATCACCTTCGGGGCATGCGCGAATTGTTAAGTTGGCTCTGTCTTTCTGCTGGCTCTCATTTTATTGCAATTATATCGACACTCTCGGCTGGATTTCGCCGCCGGCATCGGCGTCGATGCCATGCACCGTATATGTATACGTATCTATATATATGAAAACGCAAGAAAGAAAAAAATCCCCCCCCCCCCCAAAAAAAAAAAACTCCGGTGCGTGGAATCGAACGTGGGACCTCTGCCTCGTGAATGTGAGGCGTTAACCACGGAGCCACCGAGAGGTACCTCCTCCAACGTTCCAACGTAAAGCTATTCATATCTTCCACTTACCGCTGTTTGCGGGCATCTCGGGGTGGGGGGGGGGGGGAGGACTATCGTGTTTTCAGCATTATCAGCAAGATGGCGCACTGAGCGCGTGGTGGCTCTCATCTCTCACGCGTACTTTGTCTCTCTTTTCGCTAGCTATAGTGTGTCCCTTGTTGGATGGTGGCAAAATATCCATGAAGCAGGAAGGTGCGGGAAACAGTTGAAAAGCAGAGTCCACGTTAAAACTAAAAAAAAGGGGGAGGAGGAGGGGGTTATGCTGTGGTTCTGATTTCTAACTTCACTGTTTCTTGCTTACGTGAGTTTTTTTTTTTTTTTTGTATCTCGTGACGTGGAAACGACTGCTCACAGATCCGTATGATGTGTCCTCGTTGATTGGGCTTCATGTATGGTTATCTATGGGAAACGAAGATAACTGAACAGTAAATTAATCTCAGTAGGAGGAAAGCTTCAGGCATTCTTGCTAGTTCGTCAGTAAATGAAGAGCATTTCGTTTCCCGAAGACACCGACTAGATGCGACGTGAGAGGAAACACGGATCAGGCGTTAGGAACGACGTACTACAATATGATTATGAGAGACGCCGTAGTGGAGGGCTTCGGAGCTTTTGACCACCTAGTGTTCTTTAACGTCCACTGACATCGCACAGTGCAGGTGCCTTTACCGTTTTGCCTCCATCGAAATGTGGCCACCTCGGCCGGGATCGAACCCGTGACCTTTGAGTCAGCAGCCGAGCCCCATAACCACTGTTCCACTCGGGCTTCCAGCCACATTGAGAAAGACTACCTATATAAGAACAAGGGAGCTCTGTGAACGTAAAAGAGCCCCTCAACACTTTATCGGTGCCCTGCCTTGGTGGTCTAGTGGCTAAGCTGCTCCGCTGCTGACCCGTAGGTTGCGGGATCGAATCTCGGCTGTGGCGGCTGCATTTCCGATGAAGGCGGAAATGTTGTAGGCCCGTGTGCTCAGACTTGGGTGCACGTTAAAGAACCCCAGGTGGTCGAAATTTCCGGAGCCCTCCACTACGGCGTCTATCATAATCATATGGTGGTTATGGGACGTTATACTCCACATACTATCATCATTAACACTTTTTTCGGTGTGGTCAGAAAACGCTGCCGATCGGTAGTCGGGGTTCCTGAGAAAACTTGAGCCAAACTTCACAGCGCCGCACGTGACACAAGATGTGATATGAAACGGCGTCCATGACCACCATTTATCTTCTCCCTTCTCTGCATCTTCAGCGCGCCGACGAAGGGATGCATCTTCTTGCAGCCTTGTCACCACCCTTTTGCGTATAGCTTTTAGCGCGCTCGCTGGTACGAAAGGAAAAAGAGAAAGCGCCTGAAGTGGTCGACGAATCTCCGTAACTCCATTTGTATTTGACTGATTCTAAGACTATTTTCCCGGCAGCTGATTCGTGGGGCAATAAGCTTTTTCAAAGAAGCGCGTCGACGATTACTGAGAAATGTGCTGCACGATTACTCTAAGGGTAAGCAAAAGCGTGCGCAAGCTATTCCCAAAAGTTATCTGTGACGAAAGTGGGTATAGTTACCAAAAGTGACTCCAATTTGTATGAAACAGAAACTCACTGGAACATCCTGGTAAAAATGTGGTATCGCACTACAAAGTGTGTGTCTTCCTAAAATAATTAAACATCGCCCATTTTCTAGAAATGCATGGGACCCCATTGTCAAATTTTAAGCATTCTGGGAAGCCGCGTTGTTTGTAGTGCGGGATTGTAGTTTCACGCGAATGCTCCGGTGCGTCTCTTCTACATATACCGGCAGTCGTTTTTGATAACCAGCTTCTTCCGTTAGATATATTTTTTTGCTTATTTTCTCAGTCGGTTATGTCAGGCCACTGCTGTCGCCAACGAGCGAAGGCGCTATACATCCACATATCCCCAAATCCTGGTCATGACCGCCTCTTGTTAGAGCAATGATTCTGCCTTAGTGCATTGTGCGGGTTTTAATTGGTTCGCTTTATTTTGATCTTTAAGCCTGCTAGCGAGAGTTTTCGGGATAGGTAAAATAAGAGGAAATTCTGTTGGTTGTGTAGGGTAACAGTAAAAAAAGAAAGTAATTTTCTCGTTCCCTAGTCGCTCTTCAGTTCCTATAAAGTAGCGCATACGAGAACTAAGGACGCCAATGTGCTTGACGCTTTTCGAGGCACGCCTATAGCCGTTTAATGACATGACGAACACTTGGCCTACGCGTTGCCTATAGCTCGTCTCCGGCAGTTTCTTCTTTCTTCCCAATTACTGCTGTTTCAGTGAGGAGGCAGCATTCTTTCCCTCTGGTATTCGCGCAATAATTCGGCAATTTACCGCTTCTTGCAGGCTTTCGTGCATGAGCAGAACTACTCGGCCATCGAGCGGGAGTGCCTTGCGTTAGTTGGGGCCGCGGAAAAGTGCTGCCTTTTTTTATTCCTTTTTCTTTTCGCTTTGTCAAACGGTGCAGAACATTGCTGCCTTCTCTCACAAAGTTCGTTCGGAGCCTTCTCTTTTGCTTTTCGCGGATGATCGCGTTTTGTTTCTTCGCATATACTTGTGGGGCATCTTTTATGCCTTTGAAAGATGAAACCGAGGATGCAATAACAACGCCATCCTAATGTCTCAACGATTACGATTCTTTCGTTAAATTTGAATTTCGTGCCTTCTCGGGCGCTGTAATTGTAATTGGCATGACGATACGTGTTTTCAAAGCGGGCCAATGAACGGAGAGCCTCGTTAAGTAAATGGGTTTCTCTGTGTTGGCAATGGTACTGTTGGAGCAGTTTTTTTTAGTATTGTTTTTTATAGCAGACGCATTTAAATTTAAAGTGAAAACGGATATTAAGCAGCGTATAATCATAATCGGGCC